GTCTTCCTGGAAGTACTCGTCGATACAATTGCACTTTCCATCAATACAGTCTGAAAAAGTCACCCGGCAGTCTGCGGATCCAACGCAATGTTCGCCCAAGCCTTTCGCTAACGATCACCTGTGTAGTAAAAGTTAAAAGCTTAAAACGTGTCTTACTTTTGGTCTGACGTAGACATTCCTGATCGTTCTGCGCGTAACCGTCAGCACACTGACAGCTTCCGTTAATGCAGGCTGAGTTTGCAACTCGGCACAGATTCGCTTCATTATTTTTGCACGGATCGCCAAGTCCGGCTGACTCTGAAAGCAAGAATACGTTTCACTTTCACCCGAACATCGCCGTTATGCAAAGGCGCTTCATAGCAACGCAGAGTGCTCGACTGGTTGCGTTCCTTTTGCTGTTATCATTATCATACAGATAAATAATAACAAATGATAATAATAATAATAATAATAACTGAGCAACATAGTAGCATAGCTTACGGTTGTATTAGGATAGTCAGAACTTTCGGATAACCTCTTTAAACAATTGTTGTCCTTGGAAGAGTACGTTAGTTTCTACGTCTTTCAGACAGTCCTCTCGGTATCGGACGGTAGTTCATGCGTCACTGCTCAATTTATCATTATAATTCCAGTGTACGCATGCTCTAGCGCATCAAGACTACTCACATCTTCCATTCGTTTTGCGAAGGCACTGTATATGAGCTAACATTTTCGTGAGATTTAAATTCAGGCGTATGTAAAACGGTGATAAACTGACGCTGATACTGAAGGAAACATGTCCTTGCAACTTAAAACGTTTTCATACCCAACATATTCAGCCAACGCTTCTTTGTGAATGCGAACTCATGCGCTTGAACACAAAAAGGTATATACTTTATATGCTTTATATACTTTCCGTCACACTATGACTTATGGATGTATATTAAGATGCATCTGAAAGCACTCACTGATGAATATGAGAGCACGAGTCAAAAAATTGAAATGGATAGACATGTTTCATAAAGATGTTCCAAGCTTGATATTATGAGAAAATGACCAAAAAAGCCAAAGGTTCGGTACGAGACAAGAAGATGCGGGCCTCTTGAGGTATGGAGTTGAAGAGCGTGCTGAACATTGAGAGAGGTAAGAGTTGCAAAGGCGTTCCTTATTTAATGCATGGAAGCAATGTGTTGATTTTTTCACAATGTCATTTTCAATATTCGTTGATGTTATTGAATTTCACCTCATTACGAATGGCTTTGGAAGTGACATAAGGTTCTCCTTTTTGTTTTAATTCAACATTTTGGTTTCTGGTAGAGAAACCACGATCAGTGGTATTCCATATACAGTTCACTGTTTATAAAATTTCCCTCATGATAGCATCTAATGCCCGAATCTGCAGTGCCGGATTAAAAGAGAAAGGAAAACAAATCTTGCGTCGCATTCAAAGCCATTCGTATTGAAAAGCT